AAAGATGAGAACCTGGACTTTCCATATGGCCGCAGCATTGCTAAGTGTTACACTACCCTGCACCATTGTGGTGGCCCCCACGTGTCTTTATGTGATGTGCTAGCTCATTTCTTTTGAACACTGAGTAATACACCACTGTGTAGATACATCGCAGTTTATCCATTCACTTATTGAACATCTTGGTTGCTTCCAAATTTTTGGCAATTAAGAATAAAACAGTATATTGGGCCAGTAGGTGACTTAGAGCGTAAGGTGCTGGATCCCACATGACCAGCTTAGAGGTTTGAGTCCAGGATCCGGCAGCCTGAGAATCAGGCCAGACACGTGTGTGTGTTTGTGTGTGTCCAAAATCCTGAGAGGAGAGCGGAAGAGAAGAGATGGTGGTGTGGCCATGCCCCCGGAGATGACTTCTCACTTTTCCTTTCTCTCTCTAAGAAATGCATACGTCCTATAGCAAAAACTTTTTTAAAAAGAAAATGGTATAAACATTTATGTTCAGGTTTTTGTGTGGACGTAAGATTTCAATTCATGGGGCCAGCAAGTGTCGTGGTGTTTAGGGCGCTTGACTCACACGTGACTGTCTGTGGTTTCAGTCCCAACCCTGGTGGCTGCTTTCTCACTTTCTCTCTCTCTCCGCCCTCCTCTCTCTGGTGAGCGCATGTGCCGTATAGCAAATTAAAATAATAATAATAATTTAAAACATAATTCTTTAAAAAAAAAAAGATTTCAATTTATTTGGGTAAATAGCTAGAAGCATGATTGCTAGATCCTAAGGTGAGTTTTGTAAGAAACTACCAAGCTGTCTTGCACAGTGGCTGTACCACCAACAATGAATGAGAGTTCCTAGTGTTCCATATCCTCACCAGTGTTTGGTATTATGGGGTGTTCTGGAGTTTAACTATTCTAATAGGTGTAGTGGTATTTCACTGTTGTTTATTCAGATATTTTATACTTTTTTCTTTTTTGGTTTATAATATCACATGTGCACTTGTCAGAGACAGACTGATACAGAGAGAGAAAGGGAAAGTGAGAGAATACCTTTCAGGGGAGATAGCCACCCTACAACCACTTCTTCATTCTCCTTTCGGGGTTTTGAGCAGTACACACGTCAGTGTGATTTTCAAGGTGCCAGGTCCGGTACTCTAACCTCGATTTTGAGCAGTACACACAGTGTGATTTTCAAGGTGTCAAGTCTAGTACTTGAAACACAGAGTCAGCCATGTGGGAGCCAGCAGCCTCCATGTCACCTGTTGGGCCTCGATACTTTCTTTATACTTGGGTTATAAGTTTAGGAGATGAAAACTACAAAGGTGAAGTGTCATATTTATATCAGGAGTTCATGCTATCCACATGGCTGTCACTATTAATCTTTTTAAAAAATAATTATTTTATTTAATTTTATTTATCATTATTATTATTTCAGTTTGACCAGAGGGAAACAGAGACAGAGTGAGGGAAAGTGAGAAAGCAAGCCACCAGGTCTGGCACTCAAACCACAGTTGGCTATGTGGGAGTCCAGTGCACTTAACCACCATGCCACCTACTGACCCCTGTCATTATTAATCTTGATCTTTTCTCTTTTTTTTTTTTGGAGAGGTTTTCGCTATAGGGCGTGTGCGCTCACCAGACAGAGAGAGACAGAGAGACAGAAAGACCGCCCAGGGGGGATGGTCACGCAGCAATCCCTTCTCCTTCATTCTCCTCTCAGGATCTTGGGCACGCACGCATATGCGCCCAGGGTGAGTTTTAAGCCACCGGGTCCAGGACGCGAACCGCGGTCGACTACGTGGGAGTCCAGCGACATAGCCATTACATTAACTGCTGGTTCCCAATCTTGATCTTTTCATCTGACCAAATTATTATTTGTCAAGTTCTCTACTATAAACCATGAAACTTTTCTTTTCTTTTTTATAAATTACTAGACTACAACTTTAGGTTCAAAACTAAGATGACCACACTACAATCCCTTCTCCATTCCCCTCTCAACATTTTGGGCACTCTCACACACATATGTGGCATGTTTTTCAAGCTGCCAGATCTGGGATTTGAACTGCACAGTCAGCCATGTGCAATGCAGCCTTGTGCAATGCAGCCTCTTTAATCACCACGCCACGCGATGGTCTCCATTTTGCTTTTGAATCCTTCACTGTGACTAAGCTAGCAAGGTCACAAGTAATATCTCTCCCTACCCAGGAACAAATGTTGGGATAGAAGTAACAAAGTATCAAGAGGCTTTGCCCCCAGGAGGTGTTTGCCTGAGTCCAACCAAGAGTGCTGTGGCAGAGGGAGGACAGGTTTAGGGACCAAAGGATGCTAAAGGCTCCTGGACAGGAAGAAGTAAGGAGCAGACTTGTTTTTTGTTTGTTTGTTTGTTTGTTTTTAATTCTTTTCTCGCCCTCCTCCAGTTTGCCTCAACAACGCTTAGACATAATGAAGAAGAGACAATTTATTCCACATCACCCAAGCTCCAGGCAGGGCGGAGGAGTGTGACACTCCTCCCTTTCTCATTTCTTGCGAATGGTATGAGGCTGAGACGACTCAACAGAATCTGGTTCTCTGTCTTCCTTTTGCTCGGGGTCCCAGTCTTTCTCCTGGCAGATAGAGGTAGCTGAGATAGTTTTTTTACTCAGAGGTTCTTGCACTAACTCAGAACTGTTGCCACAGAAAATGGTGCCAGGGGAACAGCTCAGAATCAGACTCCAAAAACTTTTATGGTTGATGTAGCAAAGAATCGCTGAGAAAGGACAGGGGAGAGGGAAGTCAAGGGTAGAAGAGAAAGTCACACGTAGAATGAGGCCAAATGGAAGATCAATCTCTAGGAACCTACCCCTTGGGGTTGCCAGTTGCTTCCCTCCACACTTCCTAGGCTCTGACCCACCCAGGTCCCCTCCTTCACCCGGGGCCCTCTTGACTACTCACCACAGGTGACATCTAGTGTAAACACCAGCCACCCGATGAAATAGCTCCAGCCAATGGGAATGGATACGTTCCTCTTCAACTCGAAGAGCCAGAGGTTAATAGGGAACAACAGGAGGGTGGAGAGCATGATGATGACTGGGAGACAAGAAGCAGAGAGGTCTTATTCTCATCCAGGAATCCCACGGGGGACTCTTCCTCATCTGCTGAACTACAGCCACATACCAACTCCCATCACCACACGCAGTGGTTCACAGCCATCAACCCCTCCACCTCCACCTCTCCAGGGACCGGGAAATAAGTGATAGAACTCCATTCTTGGTTCTGTTCTCCCACCATCTACAGACATTCCCCCCTCAACCTCATCCCCCAAAGGGGGAAAGGTGCCTAGGAAGATATGGGTTAGGGCAACTGAAGATCTTTTCCAGAGCAAGATGGCACCTTCACAGAAGCTCAGAATGGTCCCAATCAAGCCAAAGAAGGGCAGTTTACGAACACGGGGCAGGTATGACAGATGCAACCAGGTGGTGAGGACAAAGGCCAGCCCAAAGGCCAGGGTGAAGGTTATCTTGGTCACCCCAAATATCGGCTGATTTTTCCACAGGTTAAAAGCATCTGGGGAAAAAATGACAAAACAGGATGAACTAAGGATTCACCAAAAAGAAAAAAAAAATCAAAATATAATAGAATGAGCAATGACAAAACAGGATGAACTAAGGAGACAGCAAAAAAAAAAAAATCAAAATATAATAGAATGAGCAAATATGAGAAAATGTTGAGGACCCTTTACTAACCAAAGAAATGCACATTTGGGATAACAACGAAACATTGTTTTCAGGGCCACCTGGTAGTGTGGTGGTTAAGGCAGCTGGATCCCATATGGCCAACTGCGCAGTCCGAGTCCCAGATCTGGCAGCTTAAAAAGCATGTCAGGTGCATATGCATGAGTGCCTGAAGTCCCAAGAGGAGAATGGAGAAGGGATTGTGGCATAGCCATCCCCTTGAGGGGGAGGGCGGGTGATTTCTCACTTTCTCTATTGCTCTCTCTCTCTCTCTCTGGTAAGCATATGTTTTATATGGCAAAAACCTTTAAAGAAAAAAAGAAAAAAGGAAAAAAAAAAATGTCCTAAGCCAGCAGGTGGCATGGAGGTGGGGGGTGGCTGGGTTTCATAAACCACTTTTGTGGTTTGGTCCCAGATCCCTGACTTGAGAATCACACCAGGCACATCTGTGGGCCTGCTCAAAATTACCCCAGAAGAGACTGGAGGAGGAGGGATTGCAGTGAAGTGAAAAATCACTGCCCTGCAGGGGATGCTCATCTTCCTCAGGGGGTGATTTTGCACTTTCCTTTTCTCCCTCTTGTCCCTCTCCAGTGAGCACATGTGCCCTATGGCAAACTGAAAAAAAGAAGAAGGAGAAGAAGAAGAAGAAGAAGAAGAAAAATCCTCACTGTCTTTGAACAAGTACCATAGGACAAAGTATTTACATGAGTTTTAAAGCCAAACAGGGACCAGCAGATGGCATAATGGTTATGTCACTGGACTCCTGTGTAGTAGACGGTGGTTTGAGTCCTGGATCTGGCAGTTTAAGCTTACCTTGGGTTTGTGTGTGTGTGTGTGCCCAAGATCCTTGGAGGAGAAGGGATTGTGGCTTGCCATCCCCCTCGTTTTCTCTCTCTCTCTGTCTTTCTGGTGAGTGCATGTACTCTATAACAAAAAATCTCTTTCTAAAAGAAAAAAAAAAAGCAGATAAACCCAAGTGATAATTCGAAACCTGCCGTTATTAGACCAATCCATATGAAATAGCTTCTTCTCTAGGTGAAAAGCAATTAAATATTGGCATCTTGTGTAGTTCAATTGTATAGCTTTATGACCCTGAACAAGGTACTTAAACTCTTTGAGTCCCAATTTTTTTCATCTATAAAGAAAAGATAATTGGGGCCAGCAGGTGGCATGGTGGTTAAGGGTGATGGACTTCCACATGGCTGACTGAGGTTCGAGTCCCGGACCTTGATGGCTTGCTTTCACACTTTCCCTCTTTCTCTTTCTCTCTCTCACTCTGTTCCTCTCTGGTCAAAATTTAAAATAAGTAAATAAATAAGGTTAAATAAAATAATTCTTTTTTTGTTTGTTTTTTGTTTTTTTTTGAGAGAGATTTTCACTGTAGGGCGCATGCGCTCACCAGACAGACAGAGAGAGACATAGAGACAGAAAGCGAGAAATCACCCCCCGGGGGAATGGTCACGCCGCAATCCCTTCTCCTCCATTCTCCTCTCGGGATCTTGGGCACGCACGCACACGCACCCGGCGTGAGTTTTAAGCCACCGGGTCCGGGACACGAACCGCAGTCAACTACGTGGGAGTCCAGCGACATAGCCATTACGCTAACTGCTGGTTCCCAATAAAATAATTCTTAAAAAAGGAGAAAAGATAATTATCCTTATTGGTAGGGTTGACTAAGGATTAAATTAAATAGAGTAAATGTGTAATAAATGGTAGCTTTGGGGACCAGCAGATGGCATAGTGGTTAAGGTGCTGGCCTCCCACATAGTGGATCATGGCTTTTACCCAGGACCCAGCAATTTAAAATCACGTCGGACGCATGTACATGTGTACCCAAAATCCCAGGAATATAATGAAGGAGAAGGGATTGCAGTGTGGCCATCCCTCTGGGGGGTGATTTCTCACTTTCTCTCTCTCTGCTGCTCTCTCTCCAGTGACTGCTTGCAGCTATGGGGGAGAGGGAGAAAAAACAAATAAGATTTTTTTCCCCCAAAAATGTATTGTAATGAAAATGTATTACTGTCATAATACAACAAGATAATAGCTGTGTGATTTTTTTTTTTCTTAAGGTTCTTGTCACAGGGTGCATGCATTTGATGGAGAAAGACAGAGAGAGGGAAAGTGAAAAGTCACTGTCCTGCGGGGGATGGCCATGCCACAATCCTTTCTCTTCCATTCGCCTCCTGAAATTTTGGACACACATGTACATGCGCCTGGCATGAGTTTCAAGCCACCAGGCCTGAGACTCAGACTGTGCGCGGCCATGTGGGAATCTTACACCTTAATCGCTACACCATCTGCTGGCCCCATAGCTGTGCTTTATTTTTTATTGATTTATTTTTTCATTTTTAATGTTAAGGAGAGTGAAGAAATGAAAATCAGGTTAAAGCTCTGGTTTTCCCCAAGGACTGAGAAAGGAAGTGCAGTTCCTGAAAGGTGAGTAGACAGCATGACAGGAGACTAACAAGAATAAGGAGTAAAGCAGCTGCAAGAGTTTGGGGAAGGAAGAAATAAGGAAGCCAGACATGGAGAAAGTAGAGTTCTCAAGGACCAGAGCTGACCCAGAAAAGCAAAACTTGGGACAGAAGAAAAAGTCTGGGATTATGAGCTCTAAGAGGACATTCTAGAGACTTCTCTCAAATCTCTGGGTATGCAAACCTAGAGGAAGGAAACCCCCATCTCTATGGGGCTCCTCTCCCAAGTGAATGATGTCATTAATGAGCAATTCACATGCACTAAGAGATCCATCACAACATTTTTATAAGCAGAGACTTGGCTCTGGGTCTTATCAAAAGCAGTGACATTTTCCAGTGGATCAGACACATCCATTTGGCCAGGCTAGAGGAGGAAAAGTCATCCTGGGAGGTCTCAGTGCCAGTGAGCCATCTTCAGACCAAAATGTGGAGACGGCTGGAGGAAGAAAACAGGATTACTTGGGGAGCAGATGTGGAGGCCCAGGCAGACCGGGGACTTGAATGGGGTGAGGTGGAGGGGCTCACCTTTCCCATTCTCTGACTCATAGCAGCTGCTGGGTTTGTAGATGTATAGGAGTCCCATAGACATGGCATGGGCAGTTGTGTAGATTCTGTTGCTGACATTTGCTGGCCAGCGCTGGTAGAAGCGGCTCCCAGAGAGGTGCAGCCATTTCTTGGAAAAGACCATGACCAGTAACAGGATGAAGGCCACCAGGCTGAGCTCAGAGGCCAACACCTGTGCTAGCCAGCGAGAACTATGTTTAATTCTCCATTGAAAGGGCAACAGGGAGTCCCTGCGATGGTTACCAGGCAGCCGCCTGCCACTCCTGTAGGAAGGGATGGAAGTCTTCACTCTGTCCTCTGGTTCATCCCCAGTTGATTCCAACTCCCAGATTTCCTCTTCCCTTCCAGGCCTCTGATCTTGGTCCCTTTCTCCTGACCCACAGGACTCACTCTTAGAGCTCCTTGTCCCCATCTTGAGAACCTATTCTATTCTCTATCCTTTGGCCCACTTCCCTTTCCAGGCTCAGTTGTCCCTCATCTTTTAAATATTTTCATTATGTGAAGCAGTTGCCACCATAGGCTTGGGAATGAAGGGGCCTCTGATTAGGCACTGAGCTCCTGATCTAGGAGAGGGCCCAAACAGGACAGGACCCCTAACTGCCATGGAATATTCCTGGGGAGTGGGAGATGGGGGAGGGGCCCACAGCTTCAGTTCTAACTCTTCCTCAAAACTCTGCTCCTCAGACCCCAGCTCCTCAGGACCCAGCTCAGGAACTGTGGATCTGTTGCCTCCCTCCAGCTTCTGCTCCTAAGAGCAGTGATCTTTGAGAGCTTTCTTTGTTCTCCCTGTTTTCTTTGGCCCTAATCCTAATCCTAAATGCTCATTGATGGGAAAGGAAGGGAGATAGAGCTTGTCCCCAAGAAAATACTCTCCCTTCATTTGTTATATATAAATAAATAAATTAATCCTAATCCCAAACGCTCATTGATGGGCAAAGAAGGGAGATAGAGCTTGTCCCCAAGAAAATACTCTCCCTTCATTGGGTATATATAAATAAATAAATAAATA